ATAGCTAGTGAATTGCTTGTTGGTTGGACGCTAAAATACATACCAAATCTATTTCTCATTGCAATTTAGTCAATTAGTCAGTGATCAAACTGCCCTTTCTATGTAACCTACTTGAAAGAGGTGAAGAACATCCTGGTGGTCCTTCACGCATACTGCCCGACAATTTTTATGAGGCATGAAGTACTAATGGACGGAGGAGTTTCCACCTAATGTATGCTTCACAATGCGTGTAGGCGAACAATGGCATACAATTGACAACGTTCAACAAACCACGGCAAGTCATTCGTTAAAACGAACACTTTTGCATGTTATCTCCGACGATCCTTTTGGTCGCTCCTCGATTTCGGTCACTATGATGCTGTCAGCTCAGTTGTAACTAGTTGCGAGCCAGGAACGAATGCGGCATGTTGGTTTCCCATGATAGCAATAGCACACTTGCCTTCAACATCTTTGATGATTTCTACAGATTGCAAAGGGGAGATTTAGTGGCTTTGTTTTCTTCAGAATCTATCGATGCTTTACAGCGAAAGCTGATCCAACAGCGATTACTATTTTAAAGAGTCACTAAGTGAAATACACACTTAAGGAAGCCTCGTGGATCAGCGTCAAGTATTTCTTCCTCACTACTACTTTAGTGTCAACAAGCAGTCCGCCTAGGTTGTATAGCTGCCCTCTCCTTTTCATTGCCCTCCCCGACGATCTTTGTTCTTCCCTTTGAGATTATTGTGCAACGAGTCACCCTCCGAATCTTAGACAACCACGAGATAAAACTGAAGCTGATACAGTGAATGAATACCACTTACTTTATTAATACAAGTAGGTGGTGTGGTGTTATTTGCAATTTCGGGGTATCGAGTGCTGATTTAGACTACTTTGCTAACGGCTAAAGTTTATTCCCTATTTCATCTACATTTTGCTGTAACATTAGCTCAAAAAACCCTTCGAAAATAGATGGCTTAAAGAGCATAATAAGCAGTACCCCAAGGTCGATCGTGATTGGTGGAATCCTAACTTTGCTCCAATTGTAGTTAGTTGTAGATCTTGAAAGTAAAGACTGGCTCAAGGAGGCACTATAATAACCCTTTCCAATTCTGTCTTCTCAATTTCAGCCATACACTACAAGTATCAGCCTTCTGTGATATACAGATTGGGTAATCGGTGTCGATTTTGGAGTAGTCGTACTCCTTGGATTGAGTTTGCCTCTGCGTCAATCTAGGGATTTTAATCCTTCTTTCATATTATAGTAAGGAGGATGGTTTTTCAATAGTATACGACAGTCTTAAGAGTTTATAGGCATGTCATTCAGGCCACGAAGGCTGAAGAGTCTTCTTTGTGCCATAAATTGTAGTTCCTACGTTCGAGGCGTCTGGATGCTATGGCGTTCACTAACCAGATAATCAGTGGGCAAGACCTTAGAACAGATGCATGACCTGCGGGTGCATGCAGCTGTGATTGGGCCCCTCGACCAGCTAAGTAATGCAGGTTTTACGGTAGTGAAGTAACCTTATGACCTTGATATCCTCAGCCAATCAGAAGGGAGAGAATGAGATTTCCATAATGTACAAAATTAATCTACAATAATGGCACGTTTTTAGAAATAGAGCACAGACATCTTTTCTGTGGTAGTAGGCAATTTTGGCAACAAATAACAAGTCACCACAGATGTATGCGAAGCGGGAAAATAATCAAATCGCCATACTTCCATTTCCTGTTGCATTGTTGACGAACCTGCTGTCTACGCTGACATATTTATCAAACTCTATAGTCTAGATTGTTGATTTTCCACTAGTTCTTTCCCACTGTTAAAGAGACTATTTATCCTTGTGTTTTCAGAGGCGTGGATAATTGCATAGCTGTCACCTGCTCTCGAAGACCATTTCTCCTCCAACCGTCCCTATTGACATAGCCAAATCAAATATTATGGTTAGATTAACAAAGTGAAAACCTAATTCCAGTCTAAAGACACTTAATAACAATTCACTACCAAAGCTAGATTGAAGATTTTAAGAGAAGCTCCCCAGAATTTCATAGTGTCTGGATGCTTTGTGCAAGCGAGTTGTGGAAGAATGAACGACCCTTTCTTGAAAGGGAAGTTAAGAAGTTTGAATCTATTGTGCTATCCCTTCTTCTTCACAGTACCATCTACATTTGAAGGGGTTGAAATCACCCACAAGACGACATCGATAGCTACTTGACGACTGTCCACCACTGTGCTGACTTCCATGGATCCACCTAACACGCTCTCTTAGGGCTCATGTACTTGGTGATGCTTAAGGGTAGACTACACTCTAGATCAAAATGTTTTCTTAATTTTAAATTACATTTGTCTTAAAGTCCGAATATTTTAGTTAAAGTGAGAAAAGATAACAAATAGTGTTTCAGAGCAGCGATACATTTTACTTTCTTTGGATCCCAGTGTCTATATAGGTAGGAGATTTATATCTTCTAGATCATGGAATTATACTAGCGCAGATTTGACAGTCTGCTATGTATTTTTTCCCTTCTATGGAGAATTGATGTAGTATCCAACCAGCGAATTCGAGACTGCTGTTCCCTGGTAGGTAACTTGTCAAAGTTGCGTCCATTGTTGAACTTGAATTGACTATGAAGGACTGCAAGATAGGCAGAGTTGAGAGCGAATCAGCGAGGGCAAGAAGTAGAAGCAAAAATTTGATTCCTTTTTAAAATTTACATATATGTAAGCGTTTTTTATGGCGATTAGTTGACAGCCCTAGACATCAACAGTGGTAATCTTCCAGCAAAGCTAAAACCCATAATAAGGTAGCACGTTGATTGACGATCTGATGATTCCTCCTGAAGATCTAAAACCTCGTAATTAGATATTTTAGAGAAAGACTTTATCATATACTAGACAATTTCCTGCAAGATTCGTTCTACCAAGTCTCAAAACAAATCAGCTACTCGGACGAAATTCGCTTCCATGGAAATAAAGTTGGAAAGCCTTCTTCTCTCATACCACAAAATAAAGATGAATTTTTTTGTTATTTTACGTACCTATGTTACATTTGATGTATTATTCCAGTCGAAAAAGCAGCTCCTTATCAAATTGCTAATCGGGAAAAAGCTTTTGCCTTCCAGGAGTTGGTCAGCCTTCCAGTAGAGATTATCCTTCCACTGATGAGTGGGCAAGAAGTCGAATGGAAAAATGTCAGCTAAAATAGCTAAGAGATTATCTCGCAGAAATGGTTATATTCTTAACAAAATGGTACTGTAATTAAACCAAGGGGGTTTGAACTTAAGTACTCCTCATCACAATCGTGACAGTGGAGATTCAAGAAGGCATGTGGATCCAAAATAGCTAAAGCACTTGCTCTATATCATTTGATTGTAAGCTAAACTGTTTTGTAAATTCCACATGATTAATAAAGAAATTGGAGACAAAACCAACTTCAGGCATTAGTTAATCCTACCTGATAGCTGTCTAATGGAGATGCAGGAACTTGCAGTGGGTAGTTCTCTGACGAATCAGGTACGTCTGTTAGTTGATCTCCTAGACTCCAGACATCATCATCCCTGACAATATTACTGCAATATCTTTTGCCATTCTATCAACTTTAAATTTTAGTTTCATCGGCACTTAAGGCTCCGCCTTTGAAGTAGCGCTGGGCAGTGTGTTTTCAGGACCATTTCGGTAACCCCTCTTTCCCCCCCCCCAGGGCCTTCTGTACGCCGGAAGCACATATTCTGCCCTGGTATTGTGCTTTCTTTCGTCTTTAGGAAAGATTCGGGAGGCTACATTGGTGGTGGTGTCGAGCAGATCCCATTTTAAAGGACAACCAGCCCAATTTATGGTGCTAAATGTTGAACCTCAACCTGGTGGAATAAGAGCATCTACTGCCAATGGAAAATTCTGTGACGACCATCATACAGAAGGGATGAAAATGACCCCCACATTTGGCAACAGCCCCAGTTTCGTGTTTTGAAGGAATGCTGTTAACAACTGAGGCGACATTAACCGCGACAGTGAACCATCTAGACGAGTGCTCTACGGAAGTGTCGACAGTACCTGCATGAAGATATCGATGAAGTGGCAACGCCTCCTCCGCTTCTCTACTAGCGGTATAGAACCCAGATGGATAGCCTTGGCAGTACTGAAGTGAGAACAAAATGATAAGGAGAAAGAGACGTGAAATCTTATCCTTAGT